ATTGTTAGTTCGAATTCATCATTATTACAAATGCGACTAATTTTTTCGTATTCTTGCACTAGAAGAACTGTTTAGAAATTATATATGACCATAATTAAAATAGCTTCCGTGTATTAGTTTTATAAGAAATTTAAATCCGTCATTATTTTTTGATACGTTTGGTTTTTGGTTAGCCCGTGATGTGCAGAATTTATTTTTCGACAATCGCGTTATCAATACATCTATCAAAAAGTAAATTATCATACAATGCGTATTAATTGAAAATGGAATATTATCTCCTTTTTTTTTTTTGTCCTTATAAGACACCTTATAAGAAGGTCACACAACATGCCGTGCGTATTTTCAAATAACGAAAATGGAATTTCCGAATATGAATTTGCTTTTAATTCCTTAATAAGTTACGAAATTCATACAATCGTTGACGTAGATCAACAATAATCGATTCTCTTGTTGACCACACAATGGAGATCAGAAATGAATCTGAAACACCCTGACTTTCGGGAAAGCTTGTATAGACGATTTCTAGGATGAATGGACGGGTCCTAACAACGTGGCCCACCAAAGATAATGACATGACATAACCTAAGGTTTGAAGGATCCTGTGAGACATAAAAGGAAAATAACAACGTCCCACACGCAAGGTGATTCTCAGTAGAAATAACAATATCCCCTAACCAAGAGAGACGTACAAAGCAAGAATGACCGGAAAATAAGAGTTCTGTCAATTTGGCGTATCGTTATTTTGCATACGTACACAAAATGAGTGGACAATTGTTTTAATTGTTCTTGATTGTCATCTCACGCCTCCGACCGTTGAATTTATCTAACAAGGATGATCGAGTTGGTTGAGTAGCGCGGTCGTGTGGCAAATTACCAAATTAAGGAAGCCCTTAAGTTTCAAATACGTTTATATGTACGGAGACCAACAGACCGATTCACCGGTACGCAAATCATCTTGTACTTTTGTATCATACAAATGCGAGCACGTATGTAAGTACCTGGGCGATTCTTTGTTTAAAAAACTCTTCATTCCAAATATGTTCCCTTTGAAACGCATAACGGAAAAAAAGTAGGTACAAAAATTACAAATATGTGTATATGACGGATTTTAGAGTTGCTGGATTTACCACGTGCGTATCACATATATATACATACTCTGCGCGTTGGAAAGATGAATATGAACGGAAGCTCTTGTTCATATACATCGTTCATTTGTCCCAAAAATTTCTATCGAGAGACCGATCAAATTTTTCTTAGAAAATAAAAGTGAGAATTAGGGGATCGGAGAAGACCTCTGGAAGGTCTGATGTTTTCGTCTCAAGAAAGGAAATAAAATAGAATCGATTCTTGATTTAGTTGTAAATATCTCGAAAAAAAAAAAAAAGAGAATACAAAATGGCACTCAAGCAACTACACACAATTCTAACAAAAACAAA